AGAGATGTACACTTAATCACAATTACCTGTTCTTCTTTCTTATTTCAATGTTGAAAGCTGGCATGTAGGGATATATCGTGAAGAAGAAAGTTATGAAGTAGAGGGAAGAGGCAGGGGATGTGTGGAAGGGCAATCCTCAGAGCATGATAGGAAGAGGGAGGGAAAGCCTGGATGCCTCTAGAAGAAAGAAGAGCTAGACAAACCAGTGGGGAAAACGGCAGTACCACATGGAAGCTAGCTGTGAGGATTTGCTGGTAAGCAACATGTACAAGTTCTGGGAGAAAGGAAGAGGAAAAAGTACAGGGAGAGAGCGGGGGGAGACTGTTCATGTCTCTTTCCATCTTTATGACTCTTAAAGGCAGTTATTATTTTTACTTTTTATAAAATGATGCTGCAAGTCACTCATGCACTTAGAGGCAGAGTTGGAATCCGTATCTACATCCCTATGTCTTCGTGTTCTATGTTCATTATATTTATTTTTTTCAGGAGGCTGAAACTGGGAGAGAGATCTTTTGAGACTGGAAGTCATCAGTGAGGAAATGCTCCGATTACCCCTCCTTCTATGTCTGTTGGAGTGTTCTCACTCTGTCTGAATTTAGGGTGGCTGTCATATCTCTTGCTTAGAGCTAATGAAATGTAGGAACTGTGGCATGTGTCATGACAGGGCACATGTGACCAGAGCAAGAGCTGCCACGTCCCCCCTCTGTGGCAGTGACTATGTGTAAGGGTCCCCGAATGAGCACAGTGACTGCCTTCAGTCCTTGCTGATGCTATCGGCACTGAACATTAACAGCGGCTAGACACTCCTTGTGAGTTTTATTATTGACATGTAATCCATCTTGTGATGACTAATGCAACATCTCAATCTACGGATGGCAGATTTTATGATGGGTCTCCAAGAACATGACTGCAAAGAAGCCTGATTCTGGGTAACAGCCACGTAGACTGTATGTGTGATATGTTCACTAAGATTTTGTATATTAATAACTAGTATAACGGTCTACCAGTAAATAGAACCAAACATGTATCCCCTCTTGAATTTAAATGTGATGAGCTGATAGAGTACAAGAAAGTCTTCAGCAGAAACAGATGGTTTCTAGGGGGACAAATGACAATGACATTAAAAGTAGCATAAAGTTAAAAAAAAAGTCCATCATAGAAATTAGGGTGAAGTCTACTGCTCTTGGTTCAGAAAAGCAATGCTTTTCAACATTGATTCAATAAACAGTCTAATTAAGTGTTACACAGGGGTAGGATAAAAGATCATTACATGCATACAGTCGGTTGATAATTTCAGACAGTAGATTTTTATCATATGTCTTCCCATCCCCTAACTCCTCCCAGATCCACACCACCACTCATCCCACATCATATTCTTCCTCTTTAAAAAAAATAAAATAAAAAATGCCACTAAAATATATGGAGTTTGTTTTGTGTTGACCGAACACGCCCAGCCCTGGGGCCTGCCCTGGAGTCGGGCGGAGACACCCAGTGGCACTCTGAAAGAAAACTGATTTTCCCTCTCCCAGCAGCTATGCTTTGCTTCGTGGCAGGGTATTTTGTGCCCACTTCCCATGTTGTGCTGGGATTGGTCTGTCTTGAGCCTGTTGCAGGTCTTAGGCATGCTGTCACAGTATCTATGAGCTCACGTGTGTCTGTCCTGTTGTGTCTGGAAAAGACTGTTTCCTCGTGTGCATGTTTCATACAGCACTTGACTAAGAAATCTAAACAGACATGGTTTGTCCTATATTATATGTCCTGTATTATATGTCGTAGGCTACGTTTCCAGCATAACCCCCCCCATTACATCTAAGAAAGATGTTCCAGGCATGCCAAACTGCTAAGAATTTCCCAATTAAGTTTTCAGCACGTATGTTTAATCTCATAATCTCCACCTACTTTCTCCATGCAAATTTCTGGTTCCCTCTTCTGTATTCTCGAACTATGTTCTATATTCTCTCCATAAGCATTCATACATTTCAGAATGCCAGTTATATCTGCACGTTTGTGCGCTTTGATGGGCTGTGAATCCCCAGATGGAAGGAGCAATATTCCACTTACTCTGCTACCCACAGAGCATACCTGTACAGGATCAATGATTATTTGCTAGACAATTACATGAATGAGTGAAAGAAGAAAGAAACGTGAAGCTTCTGGGAGAGACAACCCATATTCTATTTTTACAAGCAGAAGAGTATTTACTGAATGAATAAGTGATTCTTTATAAAATCATAGTTACTCAGAATGGCAAGTACTCAGAATATGCATGAATTTCCCCTACGGTTTATAAAGAATTTATTTGTAGCAATAAAATTAAGATTTGAGACACAGAGTAAAATCTGCACATACATCCTCACGACCAATTGTGGTTTTTGTTAGTCACTTACAAATCTGGAATTTCATCTGGTCAGTCATTGAAGACAGCTAAGGAAGAAATGGAAGGCTATGCTGGTAAAGCAAATGGAAGGGCATCTTCCAATTTGAGCACAGCAGTTAGTGGGCTACTGTGGGCACCATCCTGACTTTCTAATTTAAAAGTGGGGATTATAGTCACCTCTTTTTTTTTTGATTCCCATCAGAAGCTGAATTTAGTCCCTTGCCTTCTTTAAGTAATTTCTTTAGTAATTCTTATAGGCTGATATTTATCAGAGTCTTTCATTATTGCTTACAGCACTATCAATGTCAAACAGCCATCTCCACAACACATACCGTAACCTAGACCGAGTTTATATCTTAGAGTGAGACAATAGATGGGAAATTAGCAGTTAAGAGCTTGGATCTGCCAATAGCATAATGACATGCTCAGTTCCTGATGAGAATTCAGATCTCCGCCGTATTCCTGCTGTTTTGGGTGGGGCTGTACCATCGCAAACCAGAGATGCTGTTAATGTAGATACGATCTCCTGAATGTTAGGAATCAGTCAGCCTCTCTTTCTCTCCCAGTTCTCACTGCCAAGCCTGGTTAAATGATAAACTGGACTCAGAGTGTGAACATGGGCATGGTCACATCCCTACGGAACTCCCGAAGAAGGAATTCTGGTGTCAAGGAACAGCTGGCCTCAGATTGCTATACCCTGTGGTCACATCCCAAACATTAGAATCAGAACCCGGGACCAGACTTTGGCTCTGCCTCATGCCATCCTGGAATACCCAGTGAATGCCCATATAGATTTCTTGAATTTAAATCAAGAACAAGCCATGTATGCTTGTCCAGGACTTCACCTAAGCCTGTCTGGGTCTTTTACACGAATACATTATCTGAAAGGAGTCCTGCCTATTCACACACTTACAGCTTGAGCACCGTTGTTGGATTTTTTAATCTATGCACCAACCAAAAGGCTTTGTTACTTTTCCTTTACCTTTCAGTATGAGCAATGATAAAAGTTAACAAAATTTGGGTCTATACCTTTTATTAATGCAGTAAATGTGATAATACCTACTGATACGATCCAATCTTGCCATTTCTTCCTGATAATATATTAAATGTAAAAACCACTGTATAATATAGGGATGGGAAAATACAAGGGCAGGGAAAAGAGTGAGTCTAGAACTTTTGTCAAACAAAGTTCAAATTGATCCTGCTGGAAATAGAGACTGAATGAGAGAATTTTCACCTGAGATGGGTTCATCTTTACTCTTATAATGAATGACAACCCCAAGGTTGTTCAGTAACTCTCACATAATTCATCATGGTGACCAATCATCTCCACTATCGCTCATCTGCCTCATTAAAGAGGATAAAGGAAGACAGGAAGAGGAATTCAGGAACCCTGCAGATGAATCCATCGGTGGCATGCACAACAGCATGGCCGTTATCTCAACATTGGACAGAGTTGTGCATCTCACACATGTCAGTAAGCATGCTAAGCTAAGCCGACCAAGAGCAAGCGAGACCAGGATCTATCATACCTTACACCAAGCTTTTTCATTGAAAGTCATGACTGTGCTCTGAGCTGCTTTTTAAAGAACTTTGTATTTCGAAGGGGAATAAAGATGAGAAGTAAGCCCCTCCTCCCTCAGCTAAAAACACAAAAGGGAATTCTCTACCCACTTCCTGGAGCTTAGTGGCCTCAGAGTATTAGAGAAGCAGGCAATTCTTTCTCCATCTCCACTTTGCCCAGCATGCCAAGGTGATCAGGGCGTAGACCCACCAGGCAACTTCACTCACAAGCACCTCAACTTTCTTTTGATAAAGGTTGTGCCTTGTGTGTATGTGGTCGGTGGGAACAAGAAACCTCTCTCCAGCAAAAATGAAGCACATTCAGTTACAGACCCATATATAAGGCCTACTATGGGCTAGGTCACAAAGCAATCTTATTTATAGTCTAGTTGGTCCATTAAGACAATTACATATAATCTTTAATACAGTTTTAAGGACGATGTATTGCAGGATGGCACAAAAAAGCAATTATTTTAAGAAAAGACTCAACAATCTTTCCTCTTTTCCGTTGTCTGAACAGTGAGTCAGGGAACTAGAAAGCAAAAAGCACCCTAGAATAAACATCCTTAGGAGTGGTTCCTGGGTGGACCCGGTGGCTGCCCATTCTCCTGCCCTGGGTACCTGCAAAGGGAACCATGGCCATTACGGTAGCTCTGACCATCTCTAAGTATCTGGCCGCCAGAAAAGAGCAGGCGAACTGAAGCGCTTCCGCAGAACGTTCTCCCCCAGGGAAATAAAGCGGCAGAGAAAACGAAGGACATTAAGAAATAGACCCTGTCATTGGAACCTGACATCAAACCCGAGTGAGCCCGGGCGGGACCAGACATCTGGCCACGCAAAGCGCACAGGCATAGTCCTGGTCTTCAACAAGACGTTTCTGCGAATGAATGTGTCTCTCTGCTCTCAAGGGGAGGGGGCGCATTGCCTATTATTCCGTCTTAATGAGAATTCAAACATTTGCCCATAATCTGCGAACCTTTCTCTGGACTGGGAGGCGCAGGGCTGCAGGCAGAGTCTCTCACATCCTGGGAAAACGAAGGATTGAGGGTGCATTACTTACCCGGAGAAAGCTCCGCCTGGGAAAAACTTATCCGGATTTGCAGCCACCGAAGACAGGTGAGAAGACTCAAGCGAATACAGCACAGAGCAATGCCAATCGTCAATGTCTGCGTGGCGACTCCCCGGGAAGGAACAAATGACCCTAGAAATAAAGAAAAGCTCTCACACACCACAAAACCCCCACAAAAGGCACCAGAAACGTAGTACAAAGTGTACATAGTCGGCAGCGGAATTAACCTTTGCCGCGGTGGACCGGAGTGCAGACTTTCCTGTCTCCCTGTGCAGGGAACCACGCAGGTCATCCAGGGGCCAAGGACATTGCTTACTGGGCCCCAGGTAGATCCAGCTGTAGCTGGCTGTGTATCCCTAAGACCCTGAGAGCTGGGCTGCAGGGCCTGCTTCAGGACCTTAAGGATGCGTCCAGCTACGAAAAGGAAAGATTCAAGAAAAGATTCAAAGGTGTTCCACAGCAAGGAGACAAATCTCAAGTAGTCCCAGGAGAGACGGGGGAATGAAGAAGTCCGAAGCTAAGGGATCCCACTGCCACCCTAGGTGGAGCATCCGGCGGCCCTCTCTGGGTACCAACCCACTGCCATTGCTCCTCGCCCCCTACGTCTCAATTCCCCACTCTTGTGCCCGGGCTCACTGACTTGCGGATCTGGACTCTGGCGTTGGGGTGGGGCGGCGGCCCTGCCTTGGAGCTGCGCGCCCGCCGGGCGGTCCCAGGGAATGCACCGCCAGCGAGCGGACGCGAGGTGCGATCAGAGCGCACGGGCAGGCGGCAGGCTCAGTGGGAGTGGGCACCCGCCTGGCTGTGCCCCGCTCTGCGGCGTCCCTCCGCCCTCAGGGGCCGCGCGACCAATGGCTGAGAGCCGGGCCCACTCCCAGTTGCCTGGCAGTCGGGGCGCTCAGGCGCTAGGACAGCACCAGGCTCTGAGAAGGGAGGAGCTTACACCATGGCTGAAGGATGTGGAGGCGTTTGCGCGGGGAGCCCCATCTGGGGAAGGCAGGTGTGGTGCGGTGAACTTTGGTGGGGGTATATGGTGGGGCTGAGGTTTCTTTTAGGCACAGGGGAAAGCATCCCCTTCCTTCCAAAGTTTCTCCTCCTGTGTCTTTAGGAGCCCTGTGTAGCCCCCACTCCCAAAGGCGAGCTGTGTGGGGACATCGCCTCCTCCTATGACGAATTTTACCTTAGACTCCTCCACCCCCAGTTTAGCCTTTCTCCTTAACTCCCTCTCAGTCTGAGAAACCATCAGATGAATGAGTAGGACCATGGTTTCTATGACTGCTAGTCACAGATACTTGTAAAAGTCTCTGTGAACAACTGTCACAGTCGTATAAAGGAATTCTGGAATGGGAGCCTTCCACACCTGAAGGTAGTTCAGTCGAGATGGGTGCCTTTTACTCAGACATCCAAGGGCCCAGTTGACTCCCTGGTCTATGTGGTCTGAAGCATCGAGTCCTGGGAAGTGTTGGTCACTTTCTGTTGATGGATTTCCACCCGGAGGCCCGTTTTTCTTTGCCTGAAAAGCAATTCAGCAGAGCACTGAGATGCTGAAGTCTCTATGAACATGTGCATATCCCGCTGTTCATCAGTGCCCAGCTCCTGAACCACACTACTTCAGTCCATGCTTGTTGATTTTCCAGGTAGAAACAGGCAGGGAGCTAAACTCTGAGGCGCCGCGCCACTGTGAGTAAAGACTGTGCTGGGTTTCTCCTCCTCCTCCTCCTCCTCCTCCTCCCCTTCCTCCTCCTCCTCCCCTTCCTCCTCTTCCTCTTCTTCCTCCTCCTTATATTCTTCCTCCTCCTGGACACGTGAGACTTTTCTACATGGGTCTGCATGGGCCTCATTTAAAATGCAGGGATGAGGGATGAACAGCTCAGTTGTTTGGAGTGCTTGCCTAGCCAAAGAAGGTTCTGGTTTTCATTCCTAGCACCACATAAATTCAGCATGGTGGTGCCTGCTTGTACTCCCAACAACTCCAAAGGTGGAGGCAGAGGATCAGAAGTTCAAGGCCATCTTTAACTACCTAGTCAGTATTAGGGAAGTCTTGTCCACCTATCTCATTTCAAATAAAATAAAAACTGCAGGAAGGCTTAATGAGCTGTATTGTCAAGAAGGCAAGTTCAAGGAAGCTTCTCTCCCAACATTTGTACTCCAAAGCTTGCCCACTTCGTGTTCTTTGTTTGCTTTTGAGACAAAGTCTCACTCTATAACCCAGACTGGTCTGGGATGCCCTGTGTAGCCCAGGCCAACCTCAACATTACGATTCTTCTGCCTTAGCATCCCAAGTGCTGGAGCTGCTGACACGCGCTTACCGCGCCTGCTCGGTAAACCTCACCCATTTGTTCATTTGACACCTCCACAAGTTCTGTTCTGTCATCTACCTCTGTGCTGGTTGGCTTCCTTGTCATTTTATCTCAAACTAGAGTCACCTACTGAGAAAATGTCTCCATCAGATCTGCCAATGTGCAAGTCTATGGGAGCATCCTCTTGATTAACTGTTGGTGTGAAGGGACCCAGCCACCGTGGGCAATGCTACCCCTGAGTAGGTGATCCTGGGTTACATAAGGGGACAGGTTGAGCAAGCCAATAACTTGGCTCCTCCATGGCCTCTGCTTCAGTTCAGCCTCCTGGTTCTTGTTTGGGTTCTTCCCCTAGCTTCCCTCCATGATAAACTGTAACCTGTAAATCAAATAAACCCTTTTCTCCCCTAGTTGCCTTGGTCGTGATGTCTGTCACAGCAACAGAGAGGCAGACTAGAACAGCCTCGTACTCATTATTTGGTAAATCCTACCTTTCATTTTTCACGTATCCTCTTCCTGAGCAGTAATATCCATTACATCGGGTTGTTATATCCAGGGATGTTTTACCATTGAGAGAGAAGTTCTCTCTGCCTCCTAAAATCATGCCATGAAGCCAGTTGATTTTTCTTACACATCCCCTTGGAAACCCTGAGGATTCAGAGAGTTAAGCCTGTCAGCCTTCAGGACAGTTGTCCTCAAACATATCTGTGCCTAAGATCTCTAGCCCTAGCCCCATAGTTGGCTTCCACGCTCCATGTGGTTCTAGCTCAGGGTCTCCACTGAGAATCCTGCAGAGGCCCTGTCAATTTCAGAGGTTGCTGGTTGCTGCCTGGGACCTCTGTCTGTCTGTCTGTCTGTCTATCTGTCTCTAGATTAGTATAAACTGACTTTTTTTTTTTCTCACAATGGCTTTAAACAGGAGACATCAAATTGTCACTTGGTCCCTTTTGGAAGCACTGAGAGAAATTGCTGCATGGCTTTCCCCCTAGATTCTGGCTGCCTCTGATGGCTCTCAGCTTGTAGGCAGATGGATCACCCCAATCACCACCAATCTTCATCATCTTCTCTGGGTCTTTCTTCTCCTTTTCTGTGGACAGTTTTTATTGGCTTCAAGTTCTACCCTAGTCTAGCAAGACAATATTTGACAGTCTTAACTAGACCTTCAGATATCCTCAAAGTATACATTCATAGATTCTGACTGTACATATATTTTGGGGTGAGACCACTCACCCCATTATAGAAGGTTAGTGATTATCCAAGTTCTTTGCTTTGGGGCTTGGAGGCTAGGACACCCCGCCTTCCCAGTCTGACATCAGGTAAATTCTAGTGATGTTAGGCTTTTTAGCTCATTATCAAAGTCAATTTGCTCACATATCACAAGGAAAAGGGGCACTCAAATATGGCCTAGAGACACATGCCAGTGTGTTTGGAGGTCGTATTTTCGTTAGTTGTGTATAACTTTTCTTTATTCTGTTTCTTTAAATGAAAATGGATTAATAATTGCATCCTCTATTTTAAATGATATAAAACTCTCCTATTGCCTCCTGTGGCACTGAAGAACTGGATAGTCGGTTGATATGGGAATCAACTCTCCTCCTCCTCCTCCTCTTTTTCCATGAACAAATATCTAGGAAGCTTTAATGGAACTTGCGAGCAGACTCTGGAGATACGGCTTCTGGTGAGCTTGAAACTTAGCTCCTCGCCCAATTCAGTTTTATTCAGAAATGGATGCTGAAATCATATGGAATTTGGAATAGTAATGAGTCATTAAAGCCTGACTCTGACGCTTACTATGTGTGTGATGGTGATGTAACTCAATTATATTATATAAAACTCTTGGAGCCTCATAATTTTCTTGATCTAAAAACTGGATAGAGTAGAGTCTGTTGTATGAAATTGTTGTCAGGGATGTTTAATGTACACACTTGCAAAATGGTGCCAATGTGCCTGGTTCTTAGTTACAGGCCAGTGTTACGAGAACCAAAAAATTCCTCTCCTTTTAAGAGATCGCATCCAGCGACAAGAAGCTACGCCCTAAGGCCAGTACCCCCAAAGCTGTCAGCAGAATGAATTCCCACAACAAGTCAGAATACAGTGCACACTTAAAATATTACCTCTGGGGCTGGAGAAATGACTCAGTGGTGTAGAACACTGACTGCTCTTGAAGAGGATCTGGGTTCAGTTCCCAGACCCCCATCTGCAATTCCAGGGGTTCTGATGACCTTTCTTCCAGCCTCTATGTAGATTGTACACATGTAGCAAACAGTAAACACACATATGTGCAGACAAAACACTCATACATAAAATAAAAACTTAGAAAAATTCCCCTTTTCTTCCTTGCTACCATTAAAGCAATATTCAAAGTTCCTTTGTCCATTCACTAATATTCTTCTAGGTTGTCAGAATCTTACAAGCTCTGTTGCTCTCCAGCTCGGTCCCCTTTCGATGCCCCTTTCCCCACATCTATTTATCCTGAATAAATATAATCCTGAATAAATAGATGCCCTTCCCCCACATCTACCTGCTTTTTCCTGCTTCCACCTTTCGGTCTTCGAGCAAATTTCCTCATTCCACCTACCCCAGTTTCTGAAATCAGTGCTCTCTGAAGGTATTGAGAAAACATAGCTCTAAGAAAATTATAGATCATAACAATCTTTTTACGATGTGTCAATATATCTTTTCTATTGTTTAAATTATTATACTCCCCAAAGTATGGAGAAATTTATGGCATCTGATGTTACAGAAAATTTTCTGGTCTGTGGGTTCTATTAAATCTAAGAGTTGTTTTGGGAGCATCTTCTGGCTTCCAGGAATTACGGATATAAGAACCAAGGAGGCTAAGCACGAGCCCTAAAATTTGCATGCACAAGCTAGAAAGACAGACACGTCACAGAAACATGCTTTAAAGGACCTTGTTTTTATTCACGTTTTGTGGCTCACGTGAAAGGAATCACTGTACTGTTTTGTGACATTGTCTTTTCTTGGCCAATGATGTTCTTCCTACCCACAGTCCCTTTTAAGTGAGTAGTCACATTCTCCTTCCTGAGCAAGCCAGCTGGATGGGGATGGGCATGGAACAGAAAGACAGCCATGTCTGGTCTGAGTTACTGGAATTGAAGTCTCCATTTCTTTTGTAGCTTTGCCCTATACTACAGCTCCATTGCTTGAGACTCAGTGGCAGGTGGAATGCATGTCTCAATAATGAAGTCTAAGAGTCCATGTACTCTTTCTCTCTCTAAACATGTAATCGCTGGGACAAGAGCATGTGATCTAGACTTCATCAGTGTCTAAAGGCCATGCACTCTTCCTCCGTCTGAACATGTAATCATTGGGACAAGAGCACGTGATCTAGACTTGGCCCATCTAATGCATAGTCCTTAGCCCTGGAGTTGGGAACTAGGTTCCTAGGATGAGCTCCCTCTGGTGGTAGTTAAACCACTGTAGGATTCCAGCACCGACCATGACAAGGGGATGGATGGTTAGTGACCTGTGGTTCTAGTGTCCAAGGATCAGATCCAAGTCACAGCGCCTGCTATTGAGACGGCAGGAGACTCCCTTCTCTGCTAATTCATGGGTATGATTCTGGCTTCTTTGTTTCTAT